ACATCGAGCACTTGAGAAAATACTACCAGTGATAAGACTATTCCGATCTGATCCTAAGTTGTCATGGCTAATCGGTTGTTCTGATCTGACCTTGGTTGTAAAGTTTATTAAGTGATGGAATCGCCTTTGTAAAGGGTGGTGTAATTTATCTTAGTAATGAATTTCCAGTTCCAAACCGGATCAGCTAGGGAATAGTTTCCTCAGTTCTTCGGAAGGTTCATTTGAGCGATCCTATCGTCACTTATTAGCTGATTAACAAGCGGTTCCTCGTGTTTCCCCGATTGGTCCGACCTCAGATTATTAAGAAGTTAAAGTGAGGAATCATTTCCTTCTCACTTAAGTGTTTGGACTTATGTTTGCTTAAGGGGACCAGTTCACAATTATTAACTGATCGTTGTCACGAGGCAATTAGTCTAATGTTTGTCATTCATACAAGTATAAAACAAAAGGAATACAAAGAAGCAGAAGCAAAAAGACTTAACAGAAATTTAACAAAATTTTCCATTCCATTTCACAAAATTAAAGTACATGGGGGGCCGAAGCCATTACAAAATAAAAAGAAAACCCTAATCTGTGGAAGGAATTTCAGCACTGGCCGCCTCCTGGGCCTCTGGAGCCTCCTCAGTAACCTTATCAGGCCGACCCCCAAACTCTGCCTCCAGTTGAAAGATGCCCAGGGTAGGATGCACCTCCTTCAGCCGACCCAGTAGGCTTTGGGCACTCCACGAGGCCTAGAAGTTGGCAAAGTCATCGTAAAGGGGATGGTCTTCGAAGTGATCAATAAAATTCTGAACCGCCACCTCCCCCGCAGACTTTAATTCCTCCTTCAGAGAGGCGATCTCCATTGACTGGGCCTCTGTCTGCTGCTTCAGCTCCGCCTTTTCTCTGTTAGAGGCCTCCAGAGCATCGGTGGCGAGCTTGTGGTGCTCGTTAGCGTGGTCAAGTCGTCGAGTCACCGCAGCCACCTGGCACTCCACTTCGTAGAGCTCTTTCTTCAGCCGCTCCACCTCTGCCTACGAAGCAGCAAGCTGGACCTCAGCAGCTCTCTTCCCCTCCTCTGCTTTGGTGGCTTTGGCCTGGGCAGCTTGCACAGCGTCCCCATAGTGCATCGCCTCCTCGAGGCGCTTGGCGAGGTCCTCCCTCTTGGAGTTTAGATCCTTCACCAAGCCCTCGAGTTGGATACTTGTGCTTAGTGCCCGGGCCACGCAGGTGCTGTTCGCCGCCACCAAGTCTTCAGCCGTGCAGGAGGCGATGTGGTCCCTCCACTCTTCAGTCCAATATTTGCTGTGGACCACCGCCACCGTAGCTGTTTCCGGAGGGAGATTCTCCAGCACCTCCCTTACGGGCTCTTCTGGATTGGTGCCAAGGAAATCAACCTCTTTGCTGGAGCGGGCCCTTTCCTCCTCTGCTGCCCCGGAACTTGTTCAATGGGTACGGTCGCAAGGGGCGCTGTGTCCGGGGCAGCGACAGGCTCTGCCGCAACGGGGCTTCTCTCTGGGAGGGCCACCCCCATGGGAATAGTTGTCTGCCTCAAAACTGGGGGTGGCCTCGCCACAGTTGGGCGTCTGGGAGGGGCAGCACTCTTCTTGCCCTTCCTTCGGAGGTCAGCCTCCGGGTCCTCCTGAACCTCCTCCTCCGTCGGAGGTTGAAGCCTCTTACTGGCCTCCACCAGCTCCTCCATTTGCTTCTTATACGAAGAAGACGAGGCCTTTAGCGCCCGTGCCTCAGCCATCATTTTCTGGATGGTCTTGAAATCGGGGCGTACTGGCAGCTTCTTGCTGAAGTTATCTGCAAAGAAACGAATAAGGAATTAGTACAAGTCTAGGGAGTTCGGAATAAAAAAGTATGAGCCTCGGTCCTATTACCTTGAGACGCCATTAAGTCGTGAGTGATGAAATGGATGTTCTTCCGGATCAGCCTGTGGTAGGACCTCTTCTTCTGAGGCAGCTGATAAATGACACAGATAGTGTCAAAGTCCTCTGTTGATAGCTCGCACCGAGGAAGGGAACCTACGAAAGGAAACATAACTGTTAAACATAAGCCGAACCGAAGAGAAACAAAAAGAGCAACTACTATACTCACTAAGTGTTGAAAACTTCGTCGGGACTGTAAGAGGCGCCAGGGGGTCCCCCTCCATTGTGTCCCATCGCCCCGCTGCCCAGCACCATGAGCTCTTCCATTCCTTGATGGAGCTCGGCAGATCGATCACGAATGGAGTGTGGGAACCCAATGATGTCAGGTAGTACCAACCCCGGGTCTTATCCCCCCCGGCAGTAACCTTGGGTTTATAGAGGGTCTGGAAAACGGAAAGGGGCATCTCCACTCCTAACGACGCCTCTTTCCACAACATCCAGGAGCCCACCATCTGGCTCCAGGAGTTTGGATTAAGTTGCGTCGGGGCTAGCCCGTAAGACCTAAGCACCAACCTAAAGAATGGGTGGATAGGCAGCCTAAGTCCGGCCCTAAGGATCGCCTCACTAATGGCCACACAGCCCGGCCTTGGGTAACAGGCTCTCTCTTCCGGCCCGGGGAGAATCAAGTCTACACTGTCTGGGATCCTATATTCCGTCCTAAGTCTACCCAGGTCGGCCTCCCTCAATTTTGATGGGTAGTCCGACGCCCCCCAATGCACAGAAGTATCCGGGGGGCTATATGGTCGCTTCCATATGTTCTCCCCCCCCACAATGGGCCCGTCCACCCTCACTATTTCTAAGCCCCTCCCCAAACCAGAACTCCCTTCCGAGGCCATTCGTTAAGAAATTTTTTACAGTCCAAATGGGTGCTGAAACTTACGGGTTTGGAAGTTTTTCCTAGCCGGAAATGGTGCAGGATCGCCGGAAGTATCGTTCTCTCTCGCCGGAGTTTATTGCAAAACGTCGAAAATCGCCGAAAATTTGAGAGCAAATTTTGGTTTTCGTCTGGCAAAGATAGAAACTCTGATAAACCCCCAAAGTTCGCCTTTTATAGGAAAGACAAGTCCAATCTCCACCGTTGAATTCAAATACGATCAATCCAAACCGTTCGTCGCATCCTCAATCCCGGCCGTTGAAATGAAACGCCAGATTTGATCTACGCCCAAGATGTCGCTGTGACTTTCACGCTAAATTGAAACGCGTCACCTCGATTACAAACAGCCGTCAATAATAATTACTAGCCGCAGCAGCCTTTTAGGAGAATGGGCATGGTACCCAACTGTCACCTTGGAAACACGCAACAGTTGTCAAATCATTGGACGTTTGGGTCGCCTCGGATGGGCTCCTCCCCCAACTTTACAAAGCTTGGACGCACCCGACGCGAACGCCCCCATTGGCTCATCGCCTCGGTCGTTGCGTTTCCTCCCATGCTTTACAAAGTTTCAGCCATCTCCCCACGCGTCGACCTTTTCTTGCCAACGCATCGGTGCGAGATGAGTCCTCCAAATTTTATGAAGCTTGGACGCACCTGACGCGAACGCCCCATTGGCTCATCGCCTCGGCCGCCGCGTTTTCCTCCTATGCTTTACAAAGTTTCAGCTACCCCCACGCCGCCGTCCGGTCAGGAAAACAAATCCACGTATAATATAAATATTCATTCCCGGATTTGGGGGACCACTGTTACGCCTCGATTTCGATTTCGATTGTACGAGCCTCGATACCGAAGTGTCATCTCACCACCGAAGCCAAGATCAAGTAGACCACTCTGACCCTCCCGAAGCTTCTCCGAAGTGATACATCAATTCCTACTACTGATCTGCCGAAGTATCCCACCTCCGAGGTCGGGATCACGTGGACCCCGGTTAGAAGATCCGCCGCCAATTTAAGATTTGTTCTGCATATAAGGTTTAAATTGATTTGACGTCCCCATGAGGCTATTTGATGTGACTTATCAACTTTATGTCAATTCAACTCGGGGGAAACAAACTGTCCGCCCACTCTACAAGCGCGGCTGATTGACGCCTATGAGCAGACGCTTCATACCGTCAGATGTATACACGTGTTCCACATCCCACGGTTCATACCACCTATAAATACCCAAAATTTGGCAAGAGGCAAAGGTAATGAAACTCTCAATACATAGCATTCCATAACAAGTTTATATATTCTCCTCCCCCTTTATTGATTGATTTGTGTAGCCCCAGGGCACTGTTCCGACCACCCAAACCTAACTTGACCGTCGGAGTGTATACGGCCGCCACCACCTTCGTCGGTTCCGGCCGTGTGCGCCTGACCATTTGTTCATTTCGCAGGGAGGAATACGTGGAGTAACTATAAGTTGACCACGTGGAGGAGCCATTTTTGGAGGTCAACATAGTTCTTAATTAAGGTATCCACCAAGTAAATTATAAAAAGGTCTTGTGTCGAGAACATTGTTTGTTATAAGTTGCTAAACTTACAAATTAAGCTTGCTTCAAATCCAAATAATTTGTTACTCGATCAAGTCCTTTGAATTCCTGTATTTGCCAACTACATTCAATTAATAAACCAAAAATCCTTGACATGTAACCTCTTGACGTCATTTCGAATATGTTTTGTTTGCCTTAAGATAAGACATTTTTGTCGTCCAGGGAAAATTTAATAAATTCTTTACATTTTCAAAAGATTGTTGATTTTCTCTTTGAAAGGCTCCAATTGATTCATTTGGCTATAAATTTAACAATAATGCTCTGGTGATCGAATATTTTTGATATAATCGTTGATTGAAACCCACAATTGGAAGATCCACTTCTTGTTTGGACTTTTTTATTCACGGGACTCACGTGCCGTGAGAGAATGTCAATCATTCTGACAAAAAAATTCTGGTAAAGTAGTTTTGCCTTTGATTGTCAATCATTTATTACATTATTTTTTTTAAATTTCTTATTTTTCACTACATATTTTGTATTAAAATAATATTACACAAAAAAAAATTTCCTAGTTTTAAATTATATATTTCGATATCAATTACTATTTCATGATATACTTTTTTGAAATTAAAGGAGTACAGACAGGGCCTTAATTATAAATTTAATCATAGCACTTCCACTCCCTGCAACAAAAGTCATCCAGGTATTCAATTACTTTACTCATAATCGGAAATCACTTTCCGCTCTCTAATGGCTTCTTTACTCTCTCTAGTCTACCTCTTCTTCCACCTCCTCCTCCACCTAAACCCAACTCAAGGTAAGTCTTAAAAATTGAAAATTCTGCTACCATTAATGTAGAACCTCGCTCGATTTTCCTGCACCTTTTCTTTTTTTTTGGTAAATTTACAGTGTCTGGTGGAAATCTCCTCTTCGAAGATGGCTACACTGTCAGTACAGTCCTTAATGGCGACAAGGTCAAAATCAACCCGCACTCGATCCTCCCACAATCGCCATCGTCTAATCAATTTATAATCCTTGATTCCGCAGCGAGTACCTTTTACATAGTATCGATACCAACAACGTCCCAAGGTACTGTAGTTTTACGATCTGTTATTTAAATTGTTAATTGAAAATTTAAAGATCCTTCCAGGATTATAGTCCGAGTTCGTGAGTTGTTAATTTTTTTTAGTATTTTAAGAATTTTCTACTTCTGGGATTTTTACTTTTCTGGTAAATCAAGCGGTGAATTGTATCATTATTTTGAGATTTCTGGAAATTTTAGGTTAATTTGGTTACTGAGAAAAGAAGAGTTAAAGGAAAAGAAATGGGTGGTTTAAGCGTATGATGATTTTAATAATAGTTTTAGTAAGTTTAAGAAGACTTTTGTGGATTTTGCAACGGGAGGGTTAACCGGTTAAGGGTTTCATCCTGATCCGTTTCTAATTTATATTCCTGGTAGATTCGGTATTCTGAATGCCTTATATAGAAGAAAAAAAATGTTGTAAATTGTGCTTTAAAAATCTTTTTTTTTCTTTTTTGGCTATTTTTTACAATGTAGAAAGTGGGATAAAGAGGCTTGCTGGAAATGGCCAGATGGGGTACGCAGATGGTGATTTGGGCTCGGCTATGTTTGATAAGCCAAAGAATTTTGCTGTTGATTACAGAGGAAATGTGTATGTTGCTGACAAGAATAACTATGCCATCAGGAAGATTACTAAATCAGGTATATGAAACAAATGCACATGATCATTGGTGCATAAACACTAGGTACTTGCATTTGTAAATATGTGTTTATATGCATGCAACATGTCATGACTGTGGGCCAATTTAAGATTTAGGGTTTTTTATTTATTTTTGGTGAGAAATCACGAAAAATGGCCTTACTGTTGAGATAATGCTTTCCGTCAGTTGAAAATCCAATTATGAGAGTGCTTTGTAAGGGAGCGTCATTCTTGAATTTAGCATTATGTTTCTAGATGAAATTGCAGCAATTCAGGTGAAGTATTGATCTTTGTACTCATAAAAATGAGCTGTCAAATGATATTGATTTCCTGGCAGAAGTGTTGATCTTTGTACCCAAAAAATGTTTGTATCTTACTGCTCATGCATTCTAAATCGAGATACTGTCGGCCTCAATCACAAGCTTGTCAAGTATTGTATCTTTCACCAATCCCCGTATGCTTGTTGCTTCATCTGATTGTTAAACAGGCAACAAATGTCATTCTATCTTTACAAAAATTTATCTTCTACTTTTAAAACATGTCGATCATATTGTAGTTGTTGAATATTTTGTAATGACGTGCTTAGGGGTGACAACAATTGCTGGAGGCTATTCTCAGAAACCAGGACATGCTGATGGACCCGCACGCAATGCTTCATTCTCAGCTGATTTTGAGCTTGTTTTTGTTCCCCAAAGATGCGCTTTAATGGTTTCTGACCATGGGAATAGATTAATCCGCCAAATAAATCTGAAGGCGGAAGATTGTACCTCACATTCTGGATCAGGTAAGCTTTGCGCTTATTTGAAGGACGTGACTTGAAAAAATGTTCTCTTATTCTACACTTTGATTCAGTATCGATGTACTCTAGAGGTGTCAAAAGAGGTGGGCATGCCCATGCTCTCCCAGGCCCAAATCTGGCCGGTCCATGGGCTAACATGCCTTAACCTATGGGCCACAGTTAAATGCCACGTACAATATGTTTTTTGTTTAAATAAAATAAGTCTGCATAAATTTTGAAGGTGAAAGGCTTAAAATTTTATTTATCTCCTTCATTCATTCTGCCTTGAAATAAAGTAGAAACACTCTGCCTTAAATTGCAAGAATTAATTTCTGCCTTGATTCATGGCAAAAATTAAGTTGTCTTGTTAATTTGTGCCTTTAAACAAGTCAAAAAAATCTTGGCGTTATAATTTTTTGCCTTGAGAGCTTGTTTGATGAAGATTTTTGAGAATATATTTTGTAAAAAGTGATTTTCTGGGAGGATATGCGGGTTAGAAGTAGGGAAAAACTATGGGTTCAATTGTTAAATTCTTTTACTGGGATAATGTGTGGTTGAAAATGAGTTTTAAAGAATCTTTTGCAAATAGAGGGGTTAAATAGCATTATTCATTTTTGCTTAAATAGCATAATTAATATCACCCTTAAAAAGGATTGTTATCTAGGCGGATTATCTGCTTAATATTTTATTCAAGGTATATTCTACCTTAATTTAGATTATAAGGGTGAATTTTTTAAATATAAATACATAGTTAAGTGAGTAGAATTGAACCCGCCTGCTTTTACGATGGGCTAGTAGCTTGGTCCGGTTCCCATGAAACTTTGTCAGTTTGGTTCAAGCCCAGACCACTAACTGGAACAGGCCATTCCCGGTTCAGGTCTGTGGTGAGCCATTTTGAACCGGATCACCATGTTGACATGCCTAATGTATTTCATTCCTACAAGTCTGAAATGACAAATTATGAAGTTATAATGTTTGTGAGCCATGACATTGCCATAAATATTAAATACTGGCCAATCTTTACTTTAAATTGCCTTATTTATTTTTTTATTTATCATGTTTGCCGATAAGACTAATGTAAGTTACACGTCACATTCAGGTCTAGGGGCGTCCTCTGCTTGGCTTCTAGCTCTAGGTGCTGGGCTTTCTTGCTTAGTCGGCCTAATTGTTGGATTTGTTATTCGTCCTTGTGTTATTCCCCATGTAAGTGTCTCATATTAATGTAGTTCCTGGTTAAATGACCTCATTATTCACATATTTCTCTGACAAAATCTCGTAGACAGGAAGGATCCAAGCTCCATCATCGCAGCGGGACATGGAATCAATGCCTAATGAGTCTGGAGAGACAAATAGTGATATTCTGCTCCGACATCAGAAGCGTAATTGTTAGCTCAACAGCATATTCACTTTGTACAAGGCTCCCGGGTTTAAGTCTCTCCACTCTATCTCTAATATTTAGGCTTGTGACTGTAGAATCTCGTACTTTATGTAAAAAACCAGTATCTTTGATGGATTGTGATGTATTAAATAGTCATCAGCTAGATAGAGCACAAACAGCGGTAGCTGACCAATTAACGGACTTGATTAGTTTTGATGGAAGCCTGTCACGATTGGAGAAGTCCAACGAAATCATTGAGCAAGAAGCGAAAAGAGAAAATGCTGAACCTGATAAATATAGAAAGATCAATGGTATGATTCGAGCAAATATTGCGAGTTTCGAAGAGAAATTTCCTGGAGTTTCACTGGAAGAGTCTTCCGAATTCAGCTTAGGCTTGGTTAAGAGAAGATTAAATGCTGGTAATGGCTTTTACTGAGGCATTTTCTGTTTTCATTGCTACTGATTGTAAATATTTGGTTATGCTGTCGTCTATTTCTGCAAGATAACTATTGTAATCATATTTTATTATCTAGCATCCTTTTCCTTTTTGCTTGTTTTTAATGACTTCTGTATGCATGAGTTTCATTGAAGCCCATTTTTGCGCTATCGTCTCTCTCACCATAATTCCTTCCTCGATATTCACCGCTATCACACCTTGATTCACGGGGTGCTTTTTTTCTTGGCACAGAAAGGGCCACCGTGCGACAGTAGTTTGCTCTATTAGACTACATTCCGCCTTTTTTCGATCTCGTCGGAACGAAAGAAAATTTGATTACAATTTTGTAAAAAGTTTACAATAGAGAATTTGAATACATTGAAAGTAAATTGTATATTGATTGATGAAAATTGAACTTTACAATTAACGAAAGTAGAAAATTACAATTGCTGGTGCAGGGGGTAGACACCAGTGAGCTTGAAAGATTTTTGAATAACTAATATCCCTTATAGTAGCATTCGAAACAAATATCCAAGTGACAAGAGTAGACGTTTGAAAGATGAGGAATTATATTAAACGTTTACTAATATCAGAACTATTTTACAACTGAAATAACTATTACAATGAAAAGAAAATTACAATTCAAACTTGAACTAATATTTACAGTGTGCGGTCGAAGTTGGGCAAACTGCGGTCGTGATAGTGTCAAGGGGCTAAGTAAAGTTGCAGTCCTTGACATTCTCCCCCATTTGTTTTGGTGACGTTCTCGATGCCATCAATGCATGATATGCTTCAATTAATAGTTTGAAGGCTCCAAGATCTTTTTCTCTTTTCCAAGTATTCTCCTCGCTACTGCATTCAATCCATTTGATCAAGTACTCCTGATGATCTTTTTTAGAAGCTCGAGTGATTCGATTGGTCAAGAATAGCTTCAGCAACTTTCTTTCCAGCTTTCTTTAGTTCAAATACAGGTCGCTTTGGCTCATTTTTAGATGTGTCCTCCTTATCTACAAATTATGGTTTCAGCACACGAACATTAAGGACCTTGTGGATTTTACACCATGAAGGGAGTTCAACTCTGTATGCAACTCTTCCAATTCTCTTCAAGATGGATAATGGTCCAATGTATTTTAGCGTCAGTCTTGAGTCCTTCCCTCTTGTTAGTTTGTAAACATTTCTATCGAGAAGCTTAATCATTACCAGATCTCCAACGTTGAATTCAATGAAACGACCCTTGAGATCTGCAGCCTTTTTATACCGTTTTTGAGTCTTCTCAAGATAACTCTGAGCAATTTCAATATTTCCGTATTTCGTTTCCACTCTTGAAAAAAGTTCTTTGCTTGACGGGACTTCGTACTTCGTTCGATATCCACCGTATGAGGGAGTAGCGTTTGCTGGCCAATAACAATCTCAAAATGACTCTTAGTGGTGGAAGAGCCCTTTTGGGCATTGAAGCAAATCTGAGCCGCATCCAAAAGTTTTACCCAATTTTTTCTACGAAGTAGAAATAAAGTGCCAAAGATATTCTTCTAGCATAAAATTGAAGCGCTCTGTCTGTCCATCAGATTGTGGGTAAAAACTAGAACTCATGTTCAAAGTTGAACTAAGAAATTTGAACAACTCAGTCCAAAATATGCCAGTGAAACGAGGATCTCGATCATTGACTATGTCCTTAGGCAGTCGCAGCATTTAACAATATGCTTGAAGAGTTGAGATGTCTTTTCCGCGGATACATACTTTGGCGCTGCAATGAAAGTTGCGTATTTTGATAGATGGTCCACCATGACGATGATAGTGCCAAAATCATCAACTTTTGGCAACCCAATAATGTAGTCCATCGATACACTTTCGAATGGTCGGGTTGGGACGGAAAGGGGCTCCAACAAGCCCACCTTTTTCTGATGATCTGCTTTTTCTTGCTAACAAATAAGATAGATTTTTACATAGGTTGCAACGTCATCCCGCATTTGAGGCCAGTAGTATGAACGTTGCAGTAGTGCACAAGTGTGTTCCTCTTCAGGATGCCCTGCACAAATTGTGTCATGGCATTTTGTAATTAGTGATTTCCTCAAATCTCTGCCCTTAGGAACATATAGGCGGTCTCCCTTTATCTTCACTAGTTCCCCATCGAGCTAATCTGTCGAGTTTTACCCTGCTTGATGAGGTCGACCAAATATTGAGTAGCCGAGTCCTTCTCCATAAGTGTCCGAATTTGGTCTCTTGTGTTCGTGGTGACGTCGCTCCCTGAAAGAGCAGCTACGGAGCAAATGGCAGCCAAATCGGCCCGTCGACTAAGAGCATCAGCAACATGATTACTAGATCCGGGATGATACTCTAGCATAAAATTGAACTCTGAAAGAAATTCCTGCCAACGAGCCTGCTTGCTCGATAGTTTTGGTTGGGACATGAAGTGACTAACCGCAGTGTTATCTGTCTTCACAATAAATGGAGACCCAAGCAAATAGTGACGCCATCCTCTGAGACAATGGACTACTGCCAACAATTCATTTTCATGTACCGAGTAACGATGTTCTGTTTGGCTTAACTTCCGGCTCTCATATGCTACCGGATGTCCTTGCATGAGGACTCCACCAAGTGCAAAATCTGAAGCATCTGTATGGACTTCAAATGGTTTAGTCATATTCGGTAAGGCTAAAACTGGGTTCGTCCACATGGACTTCTTCAACCTTTCAAAAGCGGTTTGGCATTGGAACGACCAATCTCAATCCCTATCCTTCTTTGTTAATTCGGTAAATGGCAATGCAATTTTTGAGTAGCCTTTCACAAATCTTTGATAGTAATTGCATAACCCAAGAAATGAACGTACATCATGTATGATTTTTGGTGGTTGCCAATCTTTGATGGCTGTAACTTTCTTCGAATCCATGCGGATTTTACCTTGTTTAATGATGTGACCCAAGAAACTGATAAATGTCTGAGCAAATGAGCATTTAGACGGTTTGACATAGAGTTCATTCTCCCGTAACCCATTAAAAACTTGCCTCACACGTTGGATATGTTCCTCCAATATCTCGCTACAGATTACTATATCATCCAAGTACACCATGACAAAATCATCTAAAAACCCGTGAAGTACCTGATTCATCATAGTACAAAACGTTGCTGGAATGTTTGTCAAACCAAAAGATATTACTTTAAATTCAAAGGCTTCATATCTGGTTACCACCGTATTCTTTGCTTCGTCTCCCTCCTTGATCCGAGCTTGCCAGTATCCGGACCTAAGATCAATTTTTATGTAATACTTCGCTCGATTCAGTCGATCGAAACAATCCGCAACCTGTGGGATATGTTAGCTATTCTTTACAGTAATCTTATTCAAGGCTCGATAGTCACAGCACATTCTAAGAGAACCATCGGCCTTTTTCTGAAACAATACAGGAGTTCTGTATGGCGATTTCGCAGGCACAATGATTTCACTCTCCAACATTTCTTCCAATTGCTTTCTAAGCTCTTCAAGCTCAGGCTGAGACATACGATATGGTGTCCTGGTGGGAGGTTTGGCAACTGTAATAAATTCAATCTCATGATCAATCGTCCTTCTTGGTGGTAATTTCTTTGGTAATTCGTCCGGCAAGATGTCCTCAAATTCCTGAATAAGCCTTTTAACGGGTTTTGGAATAGGATCATTCACCTCTTCGATCTCTTCTAATCGAAGAGTGCACAAAAAATAAAGTTCATTTCTCTTAAAATCCTTACTAAATTGCATGGCTGAGATAATCTTCTCGCCCATCCTCCCAACTTGTGTAGGGATGGCACACGGCTTATTACCCATCATCATTAATGAATCGAAATATGGCAACATTGCTGTCTTAGTATCCCGAAAAAATTCCAATCCCAGAATAAGCTTGAAATCATCCATCTAAACTGCAGATAAATTTGTTTTTCCCTCGAAAGGACCTGCTTTGATCAACACCGATTTCGCGACTCCAGCTATTGGTTAAGCAGCGGAGTTGATTGCTTTGACTTTTCCACTACCCTTTTCTAGAACAAATCCGAGTCGCTCTAGTTCGATACATGCAAGGTAGTTGTGGGTAGCACCAGTATTCATCATAGCCTTGATTGGCTTCTCGTTGATTTTCACATCAATGTACATTAAGCTTTTGGCCCTACAAATTCGAGCATTCGCTTCTTCCATCTTTGCCTCTTTCAATGGGACATCATCCTTTTTAGTAACTCGATGCGACAGTGTGTTGCACCGATGTAAAAATGCCCCAACTACGTCCTCATCTTCTTCGGAGTCGGTCTCACTATGACAATTAGCCTATGGGGCCTCTTGCTTTGAACTTGACCCACCACTTGCTAGTTGACAATATGCATTCACCATCCGCTTCTAAGGACACTCCGACACCCAATGAGGTCATTCGCATAAAAAGCACATCAATTTGGGAGTGACATCAATTCGGCCCTCCGTTGATTTTCCTTTGTTCTAGTTGTTACTATTGCTGCCGTTAAAATTTCCTTGACGATTATTATCATAATTTTCCTGAAAGCCACGGGTGCTTTGATAGGCTCCTCCTTTATTTTGAGAGTAACGCTCTCCCCCATTTGGGTTCGAGTTGGATCTGTAAGGTTTGTTGCCACCTCCAATTGCTTGATTACTTCCCGAAGGTCAATCTTTTCTAGATTCCGTTTGGTAGTCGCTCAAGCATTCGGCGGCTCCCATGGCCGTGCTCAAATCAGTAACTTTTTTTCTTTGAAGTTATGTGCGTGTCCACGGTTTCAACCATTCCATAAAGGTGAATAGCTTATCCTTTTTCGACATATCTCGAATATTTAGTATATGCCTTGAAAAGGATTTCACATATTCCCCGACAGAGCTTGTGTGTTTCAGGTCTAGAAGTGCCCGTCGAGCCTGATACTCGACATTTTTCGGGAAAAATTGCGATCTGATCGCTTCCTTCAGGAGATCCCAAGAATCTATTCGGACCCTGTTGGCCTGAATGTCAGCATATTTGGTTTGCCACCATAATTTTGCATCTCTGCTCAGATACATGGTAGCTGTGGTTACCTTTCTAGCTTCATCTTCAATCGAAGTTGCAAGAAAGTACTGTTCCATGTCAAACAAGAAGTTTTCGACTTCTTTTGCATCACGTGCCCCTCCTTA